AAAGGGACAGAGGGAAGGAGGGAAGAGGAGGGGGAAGGAGGAATGGAGGAGAGGGAAAGGGAAGGAGAGACAGAGGAGCGGGAAGGAAGAGAGAGGAGGAAGAGGAGTGGTGGGGGATGGAGGATGAAGGAAGAAATGAAAGAGAAGGAGGGAAAGGAAGGGACACGGACGGAGAGAGAATGAGTGAGAGACAGACAGATGGACAGACAGAGAGAGAAAAATAGATCCACAAGATTCCTATGTTCCAAGCTTCTGTCGTCGCTGTGTCCGTTTGATCGTATCTGGCAACCCTTGACCAGACGAGAGGCCTATGCGAAGACGATGACGTCACAGGAAGTTTATGTCACTTGGTGTTCTGGAATTTAAAGAATAATGTTAACAAAGGGAAAAATGAGAATGTGTCTCATTTTGCCTTTCCATTAGGTACAGCGAAGTTTTGCGGACTTAAAAAAATAACGACATTGAGAATATTTTTCCGTTTAGATATATTCTGTGTGATTATTATGCTTTCATTAAATATGTATGATCGATCTCGGATCTGATTAGGAATTTGTAAAAAGGACAAAAGTGTTCTAGACATCAAAATACAAACGCGTGTACAGACACACACATCAGAGAGAGAGAGAGAGAGGGGGGGGAGATGAAAAAGAGAAGAGAGAGAGAGAGAGGACAAAAATGTTAATAGACATACAAACAGAGCGAGCTAGCGTCGTTCATAATACCAATTTACTCATCACTTAAAAATTTTACACACGCACGCACGCACGCACCACAACTTCACACACACGCGCACACAACACACACACGCACACAACCAACACACGCAGACGAGGACCAGACAGAGACGAGTACACAAGCTACACACACGAGAGATACACACATTGCCAAATACCACACGCAAACGCGCAGAGCACCACAATACGACCCCACACACACACTAACAACACAGGGCACGAGCACCACTAACGTTACGCCACCACAACTACACACACCACCACAACTCCACACACACACACCACACACAACTTCCACCACAACACAATCCACACACACCACAACCACACACACCCACACAACACCACTGCACACACACAACCACACAACAACGCACACACACACACGCACACACACGCACCACAACACACACACACACGCACCACAACCACACACACGCACCACACCACCACAACAACCACACACACACACACCACACAAACACACACACACACGCACCACAACCACACACACACACGCACACACACACACGCACACACACGCACACAACAACCACACACAACACACAACAGCCACAACCACACACACACGCACACACACCACACACACGCACACACACACACGCACACACACACGCACCACATCCACCACAACCACACACACACGCACCACAACCCACACACACGCACCACACCACACACACACCACAACCACAACCACACACACCACACACACACACACGCAACCACAACCACACACACACCACCACAACCACACACACACACACACCACACAACCACCACAACCACACACACACACGCACCACAACCACACACACAAACGCACAACCACAACAACACCACACACCACACAACACAACACACACACACACGCGCAACCACACACACACCACACAACAACCACAACACACACACCACCACACAACCACAACACACAACACACACACAACACACACACACACGCACACACACACCACCACAACACACACGCACCACACACACACACGCAACACACAACACACACACACACCACAACACACGCACCACAACCACACACAACACGCACAACACACACACACCACGACCACACACACACGCACCACAACCACACACACACACGCACACACAACCACACACACACACGCCACCACAACCACACACACACACACACACACCACACACACGCACCACAACACACACACCCACGCACACACAACCACCACAACACACACACGCAACCACACCACACACACGCCACACACACCAACCACAAACACACACACACACCACACACACACCACCACACACCACACACACACGCACCACACCAACCACACACACACGCACCACAACCGCACAACCACACAACCACACACACACACACCACACACGACACACACACACGCACCACAACCACACACACACGCACCACAACCACACACACACGCACCACAACACACACACACACACACACACACACACACGCACCACAACCACACACACACACGCACACACAACCACACACAACACACACGCAACCACACACACACAACACACGCACCACAAACCACACACACACGCACACAACCACACACACACGCACACACACACACACACAACCACAAACCACACACACACCAAACCACACACACCACGCACCCACACACCAAACCACACACACACGCAACCACCACACACGCACACACACAACACACACGCACACACAACACACACACACACACACGCACCACAACCACACACACACGCACCACAACCACACACACACGCACCACAACCACACACACACACCACAACAACCACACCGCGCACCACAACCACACACACACTCACCACAACCAAACACGCGCGCACCACAATCCTACAATCCTAAAGTCGGGTTAGAAAACACTCAAGAGAAACGTAGTCCTTATAAGGAGTGAAGAAGTAACTCTGGCAATCTTCCAACTGTATATAACGATCCACGGTCAGGAAGTAAACGTGTTTGGGATTCGCTTTCGTCATCTTGGCCGAATCACTGGACGGAGAGGGATTGGAAATGTTTCATGAGACGATTTGAGATTACGAATCAGTAGACAAAGAGATTGGGAATATTTCATGAGAAGATTTGAGATTACGAATCAGTGGACGGAGAGAGATTGGACATATTTCATGAGACGATTTGAGATTATGATTCAGTGGATGAAGAGAGATTGGAAATATTTCGAGTCGATTTGAGATTATGATTCAGTGGTGGAAGAGAGATTGGAAATATTTTAAGAGTCGATTTGAGGTTACGAATCAGTAGACAAAGTGATTGGAAATATCTCAAGAGTCTATTTCAGATTACGAATTAGAGGGACTTTTTGAGATTACGAATCAGTTCTTTTTCAAGAGAGATTGGAAATATCTCAAGAGTCTATTTCAGATTACGAATCAGTGGATGAAGAGAGATTGGAAATATTTCAGTCTATTCGAGATTGCGAATCAGTCGACAATGTGATTGGAAATATTTCAAGAGTCGATTTGAGATTATGATTCAGTGGACGAAGAGATTGGAAATATTTCTCAAACCGACTTTACTCTATTTTCTGTTATCTAGATGTGAAGGAATAAAGAGGGCATGTTCTTTATCTTCTTCCTATCTTTCCCCCTTTTCACATAAAAAGACTCTTCTATTTTTTTCTTCGCCTTATCTTTACCCGTTTTTCACATAAACAGTCAATCATAAATCCACATTTTCTCCGTTTTTTATTCCCCTTTTCAATTAACGTCCCTTATATCTACCTTTCTTTCGCCTTTTCACATAACCAGACCTTTATAAATCCATATTTTTCTTTTTCTATTTATTCCCCCTTTTCACATAACCTTAGAAAATCCACCTTTCTTCCTTCTATCTTTGTTCCCTTTTCACTTAACGATTACCTTGTTAACTTACATTATTTTCTTCTCCCTCTTTTTATCCCACCTTTCACATAACCAAGCAATTAGAAAAACATTATAGTCTCCCCTGATGACCCTTTGATGCGATCGCTTGCGGAAGAAAAAAATAAACATACAACAGACCTAAAGAAAACGGGATTTTTTTCCTGACTCGTCTGACAACTCGCGCCTTCATCAAGTTCCACGAAGATTCTTCATGTTACGTGCATGATTCAGTGATTTATTTATGAATGCGTTGGTCATTGTTGTCATTAATCACTCCTTATCATTATCCATGTTGCTACTGCTGTTATAAGTGCATGATGTTATCATATTAGTCCTGTCCATCATCTAATTATCATATCTATACATATGATTGTTAGTATCAGTATTCAAGTCCGCCAGTATCTTTACATTATTAATATTCCTTAGTGAAGAGTGGTACCAGGAGGGCCATGCAGAAGCCAGGGCGGAGTTAGGGTGGGAGTGGGGAGGCGGGGAGAGGGGGGGGGCGAAGGGGAGCGTCTAAATCTGGCCGAGCGTCTGGTTCTTTCGCCCCCTCGACGCCCGCTTCCCCATCTACCTTTGCCCATTTCCCCTACTCCCGCTCCTACTCCTCCCCTATCCCTATCCCTGCCCTTACTCCTAATTCCTGCTCCTATCCCTATCCCTGCTATCCCTATCCCTATCCCTGCCCCTACTCCTAATTCACACTCCTCCCTCTATTCCTACTCCTACTCCCTCCAATCCCTATCCCTGCCCTACTCCTAATTCACACTCCCTCTATTCCTACCCCTACTCCTCCCCATCCTTCCCCAACTCCTACTACTTCCCCTTATCCCTACTCCTTCTTCTCCTGCTCTTCCTCTCCCCCCTCCCCTCTCTCCCACCCCTTCTGTCCTTTTTTCCTTTCCGCTTTGCCTTTTCCCCCCTCGCCCCCCCCTTCCCGCATTGTTCTCTCCCTCCCATCACCCTCCCCTCCCCCTCCCATTGCCTCTGTTCCCTCTGACCCTTGCCGTCCCCCCCCCTCTCCCTCATACCTCCCTCATACCATCACCTCATTCAATATCTTCTCCATCACCTCATTCACTCACTCCCTCCTTCATATCCTTCTCCATCACTCATTCATTCACTCCTCCCTCATATCATCATCACCTCCTTCCTCCCTCATATCTCCTTCTCCATCCTCCCTCCCTCCCTCCTCCCTCCACACCCTCCCTTCCTCCCTCATCCATCACCACCCTCCCTTCCTCCCTCATATCTCCTTCTCCATCACCACCCTCCCTCCATCTCCCTTCCTCCTCATATCTCCTTCTCCATCACCTC